TTCAGCTATATTGTTCAAATTTTCTTTAACGTTGTAATAAAGCAATATTCTATTCTATATACCTGGTACTAACACTATACATCATTGTTCCTGTAAAACAGGGGTGTGAATATTTTGAATATGTCACTGGTAAATAATTATTTCAATAATGTTTCACACCCCAAATAAAACATGTGGAAACTTAACATAACCCATGCTTTATAGAATCCAGTGCTCAAAATTAACAACCTTTCTCGCAGTTTTTGAAGCATGTAGTACTATGGCTAGATTGGGTAGTCTATCAGGTTTTGTATGCACTTTGAGACTTACAAACAAGTGTGAACACAAATAAAGTACTGTTTGAGCACAACTTTGCTTTCCAAACTGACCTTGTCTTAAAAATGCAGTGTGAAGCATTGTTGCAAATAATAATTTTATTTTTAGTATTACTCGTCCAGAATCGTATATTGTGGTTTTTAAAACAAGCTAAGCTAGTTTTTAAATCGGCTAAATGCTTCACAAACCTTACTGTAAATGATAAATTGCTTAATTAATGTAGGACACACATAACTTTGAGGGAAAACTAGCGTATGGAATTTCAAATGATCTTCCTATGGTGAGACTATCACCTATATCTATTCAAAGCTAATGCCTGTATTTCTTCCTGAATAATTTTCAAACTAAATTACCGTAAAATGTGTATTGGAAGCCGCATCCCTAAAGAAGTCGCACCTATTCTATTTAAATAATCAAGAACCAAAATTTCATTGTTTTATATGTGTAGATGCTCTCATAGAAGCCACATCTTATCTGTTGCATTGTACCATTTTAATAGAAGTCGTAGCTTCTAATACAGATTTTACAGTAATAAAGCTGAACTTTTTTTTTTAGATCATAAAATCAATTTTGAGGAAATGAAAGATCGATTTCACCAGTCCATTAACTGCCTTCCACAAGGATCATTGAAAAAGGAACTTATTCGGAAATATGTAAAGTATGTAAAGAAATTATGGAGGTAAGTAACCAAATAAAGATGAGATGCGCTAGTTTTGCTTAATTTTTGTTCAATTATACACAAGCATTTTAAAGCAGGGGAGTCGTCACCTGCGTATGCGTCAGATGGCCATAGCGTCATTGTTTAAACAACGTCTACCCAGGAGCCTTTTCGAATTTAGTATGTGTTATCGACGATTGGGACTCAATTACCCGCGCGTGCGTAGGTGACGACGTATGTAGTAATTGTGATATTGTTTTATTTTCAAATTTGCTGTTCTTCTGTTAGAATCATAAAAAAAAATAAAGACCGGAATAAATACAAAGAAGAGGCAGAAGGAGATTTACAATACAATTTGCTTACACCAGATGGTAGAAAATCAGCTGTCAACAAGTTGAAAAAACAAAGTAAAGAAACGCGACGGAGACTTGGTAAGTTGCCAATCGATTTATACAGGGTTTTGAGGCCATGATGCGTGAGCTGAGCGACTCCAAGACCTTGTATATTGTGCTTGTCATTCTATAAAAATCTTACCAACATGGCTGCAATCACAGTTGAGTGTATCTTTGGCAACTTTTGTGGATTATATTTTATTTAATTTTGTTATCGGTCTCTCCACTGATACTGTTAATTTTATTATCAGTGTGAATTGCAATTTGTACAACTGATATAACTTGGCAACAATGCAAACAAATGGAATAAATATCCAACATTTCCATTCCTTTCAAAGTTGTTTCAATAAAAGTGTTTGCATTCTCACATACCAAATTTATTAAAATCTACAAGTTTATTATGATATTAATATCCTGTGATCTGATTGGTGGAGACTTACCCCAGACCATTCGTCCCGGTGTTATCGCTATCGCCACACGAGACTCCAGCTTGTCTCCTATACAATTTGACTGCGCACATCCAGAAAGTAGATGTAGCTGTGATTGGTGGAATACTAATGAGTTGAGTGTCA